GGCAGGTATACTTGATCCCCAACCCAAACAGTAAAGCTCAGCAATTTTAGGAAGAAATTTTTCACTCAAACAGAGCAGAATGAGCTTGAATGAGTTCTCGAACGCTCAGGACAGGATGGTTACAAAAAAGTGGGGAAAAATGCTGGGTTTTGCGCTGCCACTAAGCATCGAGCATCAAAGTAAGCAAAACTTAAGGTGACGGAAATTCCCCTTCATGATAACAGAAGTGCATCTTGAAAAAAAAATGAAATCCATTAAATTTGTTTTATAAAATGTCTTCAATGAAATCAGAGACAAATAAATGGCCTGTTCAATTGCTCGAATTTACCCAAAAGGCCAACTGATAAAGATTTAGCTGCAAACAACCTGTTTGGACTGAAATGGAACATCGGACAAAAATTAGAAATCTTATGAGACGTGTTACTTCGAAATGCAGACATTTTGTTCGTGGCATACCGCTGATATAGTCTGTTGCACATTTATCTGGCACGAAATAGAAATAGAAGAATATTGTCGTTATATTACCGTATTGGTAGTTTTTTCAAGGAGTTTGACATACTTGAAGGTTTTTGCTTTTTCATTAGTCTCAAGTCGTTTTTGTTTTTCATCAAACGATATTGATTGTGCGTATGACATACTACCATTAAAAATTCAAAACCTTTTTTTGAAAGAAAAAAATGTGTCTTTAGTCCTGCGTCAAGCGTTTGAATAGTTGTCAAAAGACGATTAGATTATTTGTCGGCAAATTGATTTTGTTTTCTGCAACATTTGCTTTTTGCTTTCTTTTTTTTAAAATTAATTTTATATTCTTTTTTAATTAATTTTTTTTTCATACAATAAGAACTTCAATTAAGTCAAAAAAATGTCCAATAATTTGTAATTTTTGTTACAAAAAGCGCTTCCATAGAAATATTTGTTTGATCATGATGTTTTTTTCCACCTTCTAAATTCCATTTTTGAGAAGCAGTTTTGGTTCACTGTTTTTCTCTATTTTCAAAAGCTTGCATTTTTGCGCTTTATTTCTTAAATTCAGTATGAACTTGCGTTCCAATTCTAGTAAGGTCTGCTCAAATGAAAACCGTAAAATAGCTTCAGTCTTTCAAACGCTGCAGCAGCTTCGTGGAAAAGATTGTTTTAATCGAGTTTATTTTTATTCCCGAATTTTCAAGAAACGCAAAAAAATCTGAACAATTAATCGTATCGTTTTAAAACGTTTTAATAGTCCACCTGAGAATTGGTTTCCAAGAAGAGGTTAAAAAACTTTTAATTATTAGGTAAAATAATTAACTTTTATTACACTCAGAAAAAAAAATTTGTTGTACTTGAGTTCTGAAACGGTTATTGGTTTTTTCTGCGCTCGTTGATGAGTTATGCTTGTTGATTATCTTGAAAAATTATTTTCATTTTTTGCGCTCGTTGATCACTTTTCTATATTGATTTTTTTCGAAATAAGTTTTTTTTCGCTCGTTGATCATATAAACTTTTTGAATATCATGAAATATGTTTTTCTTTTTCGGAAAAAGCTCTAAATAACACTCATCATTTTCTTTTCAAAAATTTATTTGAAAATTTTCATGATGCATCAAATCGGATGAAAATGTTCTTTTTTGCTTTGCATGATTTGCTAACAACATTGTTGGTTATTTATCAATTTTTTTCAACAACCTCAAAGTATCTTTTTTTGCCTCGTAGAGCCATAAAAAAAATATTTTGTTTTATTCACGTTCGAGTTTTAACTCACGTTTGAGTTTTCAAAATTTCTTGAGATATATTTCGTTCAAATACTAAAAGCGAGGTAACATTTTTAGGAGTTGATTTGATGGCAACTTAAGTTTCACTAAACAATTTCGAAATGCAAAAATGGATGCGCAAGATTCAATTTGTTTCTCTACCAAACTAGAATCATGTTATCGGTTGATCAAGCCAATAAAAGCTAAACACAACCAACTTGTCAATATGGAACATAGTCTTATGGCTGAAACTCAGAAACAAACCTAGAAAACTACAGAAACAACAAAAAAAATTATGAGCATAATCACCAGAAAAAGAAAGTTCGATGAAGTAAGTTTGAAAAAACGAAAACATTAAGATTTCTCAATCATGAGCAACATACATACAAAGTCTTGAAAACACTAACAAATATTTCAAGAAAAAAACGTACAGAAAAGAGTTTTGAATAATTTTATAACATCGCATGAATAAAGTAAGCATCTTTCAAGTGATAAACGGATTAAAACACTGTAAACTCGATCTGTTATGTATAAGTATAATTTAAATTAAATGCGTGAGCGAGTTAGACTTCTTTTCAATATGATTGTCAAACTAGACTATAAGATTTTGTTAAAGATATTGCTATGCCCAGCAACTAAATTAGACAGTTTTGTACAAAAACTCAGAGACCTATATCTACTTGATACTGATTTCTGTGCAAAGGTATCGTTTTTAAAAATTGGGTTGAACCTTTTCGACAATTAACTAGTTTTTTAATATTAAGAAATCGAAAATAAAAATCGTTGGTTTTTATGGTTTAGATCTACATAAAAAACGGATTATGCAAGACTTTAGGTTTCAATCAGATAAAAACAAAATTATGGATTATCATTTTCCAAATTGCTTTCAAATGGCACCTGCAAACAGACTTGCAGCCTTACGATGACCATTCAAATCTGCGCTACCAAAATTGGGCATTCATAATTAAATTTTTGTAATGTGCCTGATTCGTAAACGAGTTATTATGTTTCTTATGGTTACATAATATATCACTGAAAAAAGAAAACGGTGTAAGTCAAAGCGTAAGAACAGGAACACCAGAAGATTAATCCTGAAAAATTGTTTTTCTTATGAAACTTACTGAACGCTGGTATCTATTCACTATTTTAGCGTAACTTTTTTCAGTGTTTCCTTGAATTGTGGCCCGCTTTGATCATTTCAGTGCTTGTTTTGCAGAATATTCCGCAAATCTCCATTGCTGAATTGTACGCCAAGTCGATCGTTTTTTTTTCTAGTTGTTTTCAGTGACCATTCCAGCCGTCACAGCATGGTGGTCTGGAAGTTAGGGTCTCTATCGAAATCATTCCAAAACCTGATCAGCAGAGCAGGGGGCAGTCCGTCAAAAAATATTTGTTTTTTTTTCCTTGAAATTTTGTTTATTAGCTTTAGAATTTTTTGAGGGTTTTTAATATAAATTCTTTCAATTACTTGACCCAATGTTGCACTTCGGTATCTAATTTGGTTTAATATTAATACTTTGACCTAACTTAATTGCAATACTTTAAGTTACTGCTTGGAAAAAATGGGCATTTTCGTTGTTTATTAGTTCAATTAAAAAGAGTCTAAAATAACGAAGTTACTCTAAGCTGGTCCAATCAGATCCAATCAAAAAAGTCACAACTTCATCATAGCTGAGTTTTAATTTTCAGTACATTTTTATCTGAATCTTTTCAATTTTGAGCTGTTTTAGTAACAAATATTTATTTGGTTTATCATCAAGTAATTACGGCTTACTGACTTCCTGAACTATTTTTTCATGAAAATTTAAAACTAAAATTTAAGTGTACTCAGTAGCTTCAGTTGATTCGAATAAGTTGCCAAATTCACAAACGTCCAGGAACAAATCAAATGAATCGGTTCAAAACAAGTTGAAAGACATAAGGAAAGAATCAACTAATTTTCGATGAAAGTAACGAAATATTTGTGCTTGGGGTAATTTTTTTCTTCCTATCATTTTCTACTGTTAGTTTAGCCTTTGTGACGGGATTTTTTCCCATCATCTGAAAGCTAGAGATAAATCAAGTCCAAACTTCAAAAACGCATTATTTAAGTGATCAATTTTTGCAAAATTAAGAAGGTTTGAAAATTGGCATTTTATGCGTTTCAAATAAAAATGGCGCGATACACTCCATGCGCTGAATTAATCAACTAGATAAATGTTTCAAACCAATTTGATAATTGGTCTAATTATGCTAATTGCTGAGTTATTGTTTGCTACTTAATCTAGCATGTGGACTGTGAGGGGATGTTTTTCAAAAAAATCCTCGTGCGTTAACAGGCAGATGGATCATTCAGGGCGTCGCTTTGTATACGAGCAGTCTGTTCTCTCTTAGAAGTCAATGACTCTAAACGAGTTCTCATCTGTTGTATTCACAATTTCGGTTAAATAGCGGTACAAAACCTAGAAAAAAATACACGTACACTCAAGTTTTTTTTCTTCAAAAATTTGGTTTTTGAGCGTACAATGTTTTCAATCAACTGTTTTCAATTTTTGGTAGTTTGTACGGTCTGAGGAATAATGCAAACCAGAGGTGGATGTAGGATTTTCTCAAAGGGGCGAATTTTCAAACATTTTTAGAAAATTCTATCGACATTTTTTTCAGCGACGTCGAACAAAATGATTTCTGGAGCGCTCCCAGAACACTAGGAAGACCTTATTTTGACCTAAAATATTGCGTCGCAGGCAAATTTCTGAAAAAACACGGTCATAATTGCCATTTTCGGGCACTTTTTGGAAATTGTTGACCAAAAAATTGAGTTTTACGGGGCGCGCTCCCCTTTAAAGTTAGTATATATTGGGCCAAAGGCGCCTTTAGAAAAACTTTAGGGTTGGTCTGCCTAAATGGATGCCATGAAATAATACCAAAGCTGGGACCCTTTGGTTGGTTAGGGTGTCGAAATCCTGAGGAGAAAGTGACCCCTCCTTGATCCCCCCCCCATAATTCCGCCCCTGATGTTTTCCGCCCCTGATAATTCCGCCCCCTAAACTCATGGTTTCCTCATCGGTTTACAATTTTCCTAACCAATATAGAAGTCTACACTAAAATAGCTGGTTGATTGTTTCTTCAATATACTTCATCTATCTTTCCAGACACCATACCATGTACCATCGATCGCTTTCATGCCGCAATAAATTGTTTGATCCGCGGCGGATTAGAATTAGTTTGGTTCCAGGTGCTGCTTTTTTTTACAACTACTGCAGACTAAAAGTGACAAATCTAATCCTAAATTTAAATTTCAATTAAACACGACATCAAAACGAATGACTGAACTAAATCGCTTCAAATAAAAGTCATCTAAGTATTTGATTTGAAAAATGTCAATATTCAATCAAGTATACGAAATGTTCCATACCTTCATCAGTTTTTAATGGTTGCTCAAATTGAAAAGTGCATTTATTTTTTTCCAACGGCACGGGAAAAGGGCACGGTTGTGACAAGAGTTTTTTGAATCATTCTTTGACTCAGATTTTGAAGTTGTTGAGTTTATCTCGATAAGAGAGAGCAGTTGCACTAAATCACAAGTCAATTTAACATTCAGATCTGTTAAACAAATAATTTTGTCTTTTTCTCCATATGAATTTCAATATTATCCAAATAACATCCATTTTTTCTTCAAAAATTATTATCAATTTCAATAAAAAATTGAGTGGATATAAGTATAGAAAATAGAAATATATATATAAAATATAGAAAATGGATATATAGAAAAACTAACGCAAATAATATCGACTTTTCTTCAATTAGTATCCATTTTTTCTAGAAAAAGTATTGCTTAATGGTAACACAAATCTTTTCATAAAAGTTGAAAGTATATTTCACAAAATCGTTTTGATGTGATGATATTTTCTAATGTTCGCTGATGGATAATCTATCGCATAAAAGTGCACCAATATACGACATTGAAACTTATGAACGCCACAGGAAACGCAATACGTGAAAACTCGTCAACTCGAACTGACAAATCACTGCTCTGCTCTGATTGGTTGACGACTTTATTTGCTTCTACTTTCTTCAAATCTTGGCATTTTTGTTCAATGGCTTGGTCATTTTCATCTGCGTCTGAAAACTCTTCATCAACTACATTTTTTGAGTGTTCGATTTCAAGAGTGGTTTCGGGATAGTCATGTAGATTGTTATTGCACGCAATATATTGCTCCACATCATTTTTGATGGTTCTTCTGCCTGTTTTTCGTGAAATTAGACCGCTTAGAAACCCGGATGATGATGCCTTTTCACGAAACATTTCGGGTTTCGAGTTATGGTGAGACTGATTTTCGAAAATAGGAACTCCGTTTGCAAAGGAAGATTCTCCTGCAGCCTGCAACAAACCAAGAAACTGACGTGAAAAATTTACGCAAACTGATTTTCGAAATCGTCGTAATAAATTTAAAATTTATTTAGACATAAAACGCAATTGGGCAGCAAAATGAAAAGATTTCCCATTTGAGAAACAAGATAATATACACTTGAGTAATATATTTATTTTTGTCATCACCTTCTGGAGTTTAACTGCATGAATATAAGCTTTTTGATATTCGCCTTTGCGTAATTGTGAAATAATTTTGAAGGGTAAGCGCACAGGAAAAAACTTTTGGGAAAAAAATTACGCGCCCGATGACATTACTTGGTCTTGAAGAAAACCCCAAAAACTGACATTAAGATCTCAGGGGAGATAAGATGCTTGTGGACTTTGTAACTCTGGAATTTGTCAGTTTCATGTTGTAATTAAAATTGGATTGATTTCAATGTCTAAATGAAATCTTGAGATTCATCGATTGAGTTTTCGGAATCACTTGCGAAGAATGAAAACACAGGTATGATAAGGTAAAAAGGGTAACCAATTGCTTACCTCCTGTTCATCTTCTAGTAGTTTATCGGCCGCCTGTTTCTTCTCTTGTTTCTTCTGCAGTCGTTTCTCATTCCACCTGGCCATGTAGTTCACAGCCGAGAACTCCAGCAGGGCGGAGAAGACGAACAGCAGACACACCGCCATCCAGATGTCAATCGCTTTGATGTAGGACACCTGGGAAAAGTGTGAACAATTTTGTGCGATTCGTTAAAAAACCGATTCATACCAAGATTGAACCTCACAGTATGCGTTGGCTTTCATTTGTTTGCAGATCAAAAACCAAAATGCTATATGCCAAAAAAAATGTAATAGAGTTTTGAACACTTTTTTTCCTGATTCATAATAGCAAATGTTGAGATTCTTCTTTCGAGGTCGCTTTGTTTTTTTTTTCGATTTCAAATCAAAATATTTAGTTGACATTTGTTAGCGCAAGCATCTTTGAGATCCGAAAAAAAACGATTGAAGATGAATATATATTTGCTAAAATTTTCATGGTCTAATTTAATTGCTGCGCATTTCGAAAAAAAATTTGATAGAGAGTATTTTTTAGAGAATTATCAGATGGCATCGGCTAGATTTGAACCACCGACCTTTGGCAAGCTCTCTTGTGCGGACGACGTTTGAGTCGTCATAGTGAGCACAGTCGTGATACCCAGTGCCACCCTGGCAGTCGAGGCAGTGGCATCGATCCAGAACGAGATCCAACTGAGACAGACAATCAGCAGTGTCGGAATATAAGTCTGGATTATGTAATAACCAGTCTGACGTTGAAGTTTAATGAGCGCCTCGACGCAGGGGTATTCGCCGGTGCTGTACATCCGGGTGCATATCTCGGTCCAGTAAGACTGGATGAAGAACTGGGGCAGCTCAACTGATTCTTCGATGTTCATGGCGATCCCTTCGGCCCATTTAAAGTCAATATCACGAGTGGTGAACGCATCTGGAAAACATAAGAATTCCAGTAAATTGCATAAACTAAACTTTAAAATTGTAAAAGTCTCTATATTGTTATGAAGTTGACGGTAGATTGTACTAATAAAAATGATAATGAAATGATAGTTGAAATCTTTCATGAAACGGCCGTTTTTTTCCTTTTATGTAAGTTTTTCTCTTTAAAGGTCAAAAACAGGTGTACATTGAGTTAAATCATGAGAAAAACAGCAACTCACAGCTCTCTAGTTGTATTTTGCAGATCTGTTGATCCATCGGGAAGCGATGCAGCTTCATGTTGCACGCCAAAGTCAAACTCAACCTAGAAAAGTTTTAATGAAACCCGAAACTTTTGGAAGAAAGTTCATGTATTAGTCAATCTCTAAATAGTAGTGCGCTGACTTGGCCTTGACCGATTATCATTCGTGACTATGAACAAATACAGCCTAAAAGTAACTCTTAAAAACCCAAACTGGTGTAACTGATGTAATTTTGTAGCGCCGACTCTCGGCAGCACTGGCTAGCCTTTAGAGACGTAAGTTCGAGTCCTCTGGCCGTTTGCCTTATTTGCTCATCAGTTTGTTAAGTAGTAAAGTATGGTTGGTTTCAGTAGTGGATTTAGGTGGTAGGGAAATTCCGACATCCACGCTCCCGGTTACCTTGTTTTGTAAACGAGGCTGAGCCAAATCATACAGAGACATAGCAAAAACACACTCCAAAAAATTCGTTTATTTTTTTGTTACACATCTCTGAAAGCCAAATATTGAGGATCTTTTTGAACGCCGTAATAACCATTTCTCAAAAACATTCAGAATTGTTTGACGTTTTTGGTCATCAGCTACGCTCAGGGGCGGATCTAGCATTTTCTCGAGGGGGGATTGATTTTAAAAAACGTTCGAAAATTTTGTCGACCTTTTTTTATTTAAATTGATTATCCGAGCTCTCCCAAAGCACTAAAAAGACCCTGTTTTGGCAAAATTGTCTGCGCCGCAGGCAAATTTTGGAAAAAATAGGCCAAAAAAGGCGTTAAAAAATTAGCAAGCATTGGCGCCAAAGGCCCTTTTAGAAAAATTTCAGGGTCCGTCAGCCAAAATGGAAATCTCAAAATAGTACAAAAGAAAACCCCGCTCCACTGCCCTCCCCCCCTCAAATCCGCTGCTGGCTACGTGCCCGATGACCACAGATACCAACCTCTGACTAAGCAACACATCTCCAGTGGGCGAAATACGCAACAGTTTGTTGTCCTTGGTGACAGAGTGGAAATTAGCCGACTTCTCATTCACCACAAACAAGTCAGGAACCCACAGACTCTTCAGGAGGGACACATCCACATTCACTGGCTCTGACCCATCAGTGAACTGGAGTCTGGGGTCATTCCACAGCTGGCGTAAGAACACAGTCACGCGGTAGTCCTGAAGTGGAAATATCCCAACATATTACTTTTTGGTCTCTGCGGTCTACGCAAAATAAAGTCATAAGCGATCATCGAAATGGATCGAGTGATATTTCATATAAAAACAGTTTCAGTCATGTTTTTTTGAACTTTTTTTGACTTTTTTGTTTTTTTAATCAATTTTTGAAGAAAAGGTTTTTGAATAGGTTTAATTTAACTTGGCTGTCAAAACTGTTTCAGTTTACGGTGGAAAAAAAACGACACAGTTTAGAAAAGAATATTTTTTGTAGATTTTGTATCGATGTGGCCGGAGATTTTTAATAAATTTTAGATAAACTTGACGAATAATTGAATAATAACCAAAAAAAAACTATGAACTTTCTGAGCACTATTTTGTGGTTAAGCGGGCTATGTAACCAAAACACTGCTTCGTTTTGCAAGACTTTCTTTTGAAGTTTTTTTTTTGAAAATGAGTGCTATTAACTCCGACCCCATGGTTGTGTTTAAACGAATTTTGCAGGGCTCTTGCAATATCTTGCAAGATAATCTTCCTTGATCGAACAGGTCACATGATTTCTTCAGCCGTTTCCGGAGAAATGCCACTCTGTTTCCCTGATTAAGATTCATTATGCAATTTCTATGCTGTGTTGTCTACTATCAAAAGAGTGACAATGAATATGGCCGAGGGTCCTTTTTTCACGCAACTCCAGGTGCTTTAATGCAGACCCGTAATTGATGCTTTGTTTCGCAATATTAAAAAGTTTTTGGTTCGGCTCCCAAAACCAATTAGCGTATGGAAATATTCTAATTGTTTTTGCTTTTCAGACTATTTAAGATTGAAAGAGTCGTACTTGTGACAGTTGTGTAACCTCAAAATATGTGTGGAATCTGTTATATCTCAAGTTTTTCTATTTAATTAGTTTCCTTGTTTTTTTTAAGAACTAATAACAATTGTCAAGCATATTATTGTTTTCGTGTTCATTTCGTGTTCATGAGTTTAAGTCAATTAACTTATAGTTTGTCAAGCATATTATAGTTTTCGTGTTCACGAGTTTAAGTCAATTAACTTCTGTCTTTTTTGGAATGTTTTCACTTTCTTGTCGTTTTTCGTCGTCGCATATATGCGTGCAACTTATATATGCCTTGATGTTGTTGAAACTAAGCATCAAACAGTAGTGCACTGTACAGTCAGCAATATTTTGCAATCGCAAAATAAAATTGAAAAAGCGGGAAGGGTTGGGGTGGGGTGTCCCCTAGCTTAGTCCTAAGCTATGTCGAGGTGAGTGTGCTAGCTTGTCGAGTTGGCTGTCTGAGTTGAAGTCGTCGGCTGTCGAGATGAGGTTCACAGGATGTCAAATTGAGGTTTCTCTGTTGTCCTGAGCTCACTCTTCAAAAGTGAGCAAAGTTCGGCTACGCATGTCAAAGTTCGGCTACGGAAAAGAAAGTTGATGTGTGCTAATTGAAGGAACTGCTCGATTGTTGCAGTTGATCATGCTCCAGAGTAAAATTCAGATCTGATGAATCAAGATGATTGGCTGGTCGTTGTTTTCCGCTATTCCTTGTCAAAGAAGATTGACTAGTCGTTGTCGTTATCCAAGTAATTACAAGTGGAAGAAATCTGGTTGCATTAAGAAATTTGTGTAGAGAAGATGAGAGCAAAAATGAATATTGGAGTAAACATTATCAGAGTGTGCTCCCGGCCAAAAAGCTGTTGTTGCGTATCAGGTGTTGTTGTCAACTAAAACGTATTTCTGGCGCAGCGTGTATCGTCGTTGTTGTATATCTAAATTCATTTAGGAAGGCAAAGCTGGCAGGCTCTTCCGTTTTTCCTTTTCAGAATGTCGGCATTGGAGGGGATGCTCTAGTTTGATTGCTGCTCTTTGGCGTGGATTGTTCAGTGTTGAATTCTGGACAAACAGGAGCGAGGCGTATTACTGGTATTTGAACACTTCCATGGCAGGGTCTAACGTTGTATTGTCGTATTACATTGTCGCCAGCTGGGATCGGTGACTCTACGCAACCTAGCGCCATAATTCACAAGGAGTTAGAGCTTCTAAAATCAAAACGGGTTGTCCATTCGAATTAGGCTGATTTTTCGAGGTTCATTTCTGTCGGGAAAGCAGAGTTGGGTTGAACTCTTGCACTAGGCGGTTCCAAACATGGTCTGATAGCTGCTGTATAAATTTCCATTTTTTAAATCAAATTAATGGCTTGAATTATTTCTGCGAGGCATGCTGGCCAAAATTCTTCAAAGAAGGAAATATCGCAGGGAGAAGACGATACAGTCGTGATGGGTCGTTTATTCATAAACTGTGCAATCTCGCACAGCATGGTGTTGAAATTATCATCTCTGAGGGCGTTAGATACAATGATGGCGTATAGAGAGGTTTTGACGCTACGAATGATACGTTTACAGGCGCGATCGATGAAGACATTGAACACTTTGAACACTATGTGGTGCATAGGCGGGGTTGATTTACGAAGATGTCTGGTGATATCCAAAAATTTGGTTCATCGAGGAGCTGTCGAACGCGGTCATCAGTTCTTTTTCGGCTGCTGTAACGTTCTTTGCGTTGTCAAAGCGGATGTCTGAAGGGGTGCCTCTTCTTGCAAAGAAGCGGCGGAGGGCTGTTAGAATTGCGTCGGATGATAGGCCATGGCACATTTCCAGATGAACTGCGCGAGTCTTCATGCCGGTAAAAATCAGTCCATACCGTTTGCTATGGGTGATTGAATTGTTTGACGCGAAGGGTCCAAATGGTCAAGACCAATTTGCTGAAAAAGGAATGGCTTATCTGATGGAAATCGACATGACGGGAGAGGAGACATTTCAGGATCGAGTGCACAGGCGAGCTGGCGTCGGCAGTCGTAAGTACTGTTGTACCTTTACGTATTTGAGATCTGGCAGGCAGAATCCAATAGTCAGCTTGAAGTGTGATGCGTGTATGCTCGGGTTGGAATGCTTATGAGAGATGTGAACATGTTGTACGAGGAGGTAAATTGCTGGGTGTTTTCCATCTAAAATAACGGGAAACTTTGAACAATAAGCAAGTCATGGCTTTTGTATTTTCCTTTGGCTCGCATTATGTTTGGTTCTTCGAGAAAAGGCAAGAGGGGTCGGATTCGGCTAGATGTAGCAACGATATTTCGCTTTGGGACATCTTTTAGCTCGTTCGGAAAAGAGTCTTGTTGAGATTTTTTGACGAGAAATTTCATTAACAATATGATGTCAGAGGCGTTCAGGGTGATGCCATGATGCTGATTTTCTTCAGTTGTCAAAGGAGGCGAGGTTGCTGAGGTTGAAAACCGAATCAAGTTATGTTGACGAGGTTTCTGATGAGGGGTTTGAGATACTGATTGACCAATTGAAGATTCGCTGGTTGAGTTTCTAAACAGTGCGGCAGCAATAAGAACAAAAGCTGTTGCGCGGAGAAGGGGGTTCCACTTCAAAAATCGTTTGTAACTGATGCAGGAGCTGCTAAACATGGGGTCTTGGAAGGCTCTCACATAGCAAGAGTGATGCTGATCGGGCAAACATTTTTCGGTTACACTGAAAACGCAATCATGTTGTCTCTCGCTTTCCACAGTGTTTGAAGGGGAGGCTATTCCAGAGGGTTGTTTGGGCCAAGCATCTTCTAGCTGAGGAATGATATCTGGTCCATTGAACCAACGTCTGTTAAGGTTGAACACTGAAAAGGAGATTCCACGAGTTCAATCATCGGCGGGGTTGAGGTAACCTGGCCAGTGTTTCTGGAGATACTGGAGGTCACATAGTAGATTGGGTGACCTCCAGTATCTCTGATACAGGATTTGCAATAAAGATTTGTTATCTTTTGTCTGATCCATGAATCCATTGAAAACTGTGCTGCTATCGGTCCAGAGATAAGTGTAGCTTAATGAGAAGCGTTGTTGTTGCCTAATGAAACTGGGAAGATGGGCACAAAACAGAGCTGCTTGGAGTTCCATTTTCGTGATGGTGCATTGTTTCAGCGGGGCTACTCGTGCCTTGCCTAAATCAAACGTAATTTTGGGCCTTGTATCGGAAACCGTTGAGTAAACAAGGTAAGATACTGAATGAAGAGCTGCGTATGAGGCATCTGAAAAGATTTGCAAGATAAATTCTGAGGTGAGCTCTGCGAAATAATTGCGAGGCACGTGGAGCGGTTGAAGGTTGTCGGTTTCTTGGAGAAGATCAAAGAGCTCAGTTAGGTCCGCTTTGGTAATTTGATCGTCCCATTTTAGTCCTTTTCTCCAAATGTTCTGCTGTAGAATTCGTAGGCGAATTGTGACAGGTGCGGCGAAGCCAATAGGGTCGAATAGGGAGGATGAAGTATGCAGAAGGTTGCGCTGCGTTGGCTTCTTCCTTTCCAGATCCTGAAATTTCTTCGGCTCAGAAACTGGTGAATCAGAGGAAATGTTTCATTCAATTTCCAATATACGTTTTGTCGTTCTGGGGTCATTCCATTCGTTGTGAGATTTGGCGCGGTGTTGCTGAGGTATTGCACTTAAAATCTCTGGGCTTGTAGTGATCCACTTAGTCAAGTTGAAACTACCTGTGGCGAGTACCTTTCGCAAATCAGTAGATAGTTGCAATGCTCTTTCCACGGTGTTGGTTGACTCGTAAAATTCGTCCATGTAGAAGTTGGTGTCGATTAAGTATCTGTTGTGGGGGTAATCGTTGTTGTTTTCGTCACCACATCTTTGGAGAGTTCACAAATTGGCGAGCGTTTAGCTCCAAAAACGAAACGAGTATACTCGTAAAAATCTGGTTGAGTTTTTCACCAGATGAATCTGAGAAATTTCCTGTCTTTGGGTCTGACGGAAACTTGCATGTACATGCTTTCAATGTCTGCTTTGATTGGATACTTCCGTTCTCAAAATTGGCAAATAACGGCAAGTAGGTTGCTTAGGAGGTCCAGGCTTAATTGGCTTCGTCACTCCATGCTCTGGCAGTATCCATCCTGCTGAAGGAATTTCTTCGTTTGGAAGTTTTTGAATGTTTTCCTTAGTCAAATTGTT